CTCTGACGGCGCCGGACCGGCCGGGCCTTGCCCATCCTTGGCTTTGGGGTCCTTTCCACCAGGGGTCCAGCCCCGGCTCCCCAGCTGCTCCTGGCCCTCCGGAATGTTCTCCGAGCAAGAAAACAAAGAAGGCCGCCCCCACGGCCGACCCCCTGCCGCGCCCTGCCGCCCGGGAGGACAAGGTGAGGACGGGCGGACCCAGGGCCCTGTCGTGGGGGGACTGGCGACGGGCCTGCCCACAGCGCCCTGTGTCCGCAGGTCCCCTGCAAGCTCATGGCCTCTGAGCTCAAGTCCTGCCTGCGGCAGGCCCGGGAGCTGGGGGCCCGGGCCCGGGAGCTGAGCACCAGAGCCCTGGAGGAGGATGTGGGGGAGCCCAGTGCTCCCGAGGCTGACGGGTGAGTTCTGGGAAGGCGGGCAGAGGGCCGGGCCTCTCCTTCCAAGGAGCCGCAGCCCACATGCTCAGGTCCGGCCATCTCCTGCCTCGGTGGGCGCCGGGTGGCTGACCCTGTCCCCAGTGTCTCCCCGTGCCGTGGGGCTCTGCGCCGGGGTGGGGGGCCGGGGGCCTCGGGCCTCGGCAGGGCGGGGCTCCTGGGCCTGACTCTGGCTCCGCCTGGCAGCGGAGAGTCCGCGCCCGCCTACCAGCGATTCCACGCCCTGGCCCAGCCGGGCCCCCCGGGCCTGGGGCTGCCCTACAAGTACCAGGTGCTGGCCGAGATGTTCCGCGGCATGGACACCATCGTGGGCATGCTCTTCAACCGCTCCGAGACCGTCACCTTCGCCAAGGTCCAGCGGGGCGTCCAGGACATGCTGCGCAAGTGAGCAGGCGGGGGGCTGCTGGGGCCGGGGTGCCGCCGGGGGCCGGGGCCCAGCACCCTGTCCCGTAGGCGTTTTGAGGAGCGCAACGTGGGCCAGATCAGGACCGTGTACCCCGACGCCTACCGCTTCCGCCAGGAGCGCCACGTCCCCACCTTCACGGACGCCGTCCGGACGTCCGACTACCAGCTGACCGTCGAGCCGCTGCTGGGCCCGGGTGAGCGCGGTGGCCGGGC